ATTGTAACATATTTGTGACTTGACATCACGGAAGGAGCAAAAGTTAGGGTAGGGGTTACACATACCCGCGGCCTGGACCTACAGAAAAAAGAACATAACAGGAATCCAAATTTTCTTTATAAAATCTCATAAGAACAGTAAAGGACAAACCCCTCATGATGAAAACTGTGTATAATACCCTAGTATATTATATAGTAGGGTACCCCATTGTTGACTCATGGTTGCTAAAAACCTTACCAGACTGACTGATTTTAGTGACATAGTGGATGTAAAATATTGAATAAATTTAATAAAATGTTGTGCCACATGACTGGCTTTATTTTCACTCTTATATTTAACTTTATGACACACAAAACTACAAATGAATCGTCCTTATTGTCTCCAGGTGCATTCTGGGTAAAGCTTGTCACCAGCGTCATCATCAGTCACTTGGCAACAAATGGCAAACTAGCTAGAGCATTTCTACGGATTATATTAACATGTTTTGAATTTGTGTTGTTTCATCATTAGTGACCAGTAGCCTGATGTGTCTGTTCTTCTCTTGGTTTGTTGTACTTCATGTCAGATGGATTTCAAAATGACATAGTCGCTCTCTATGGTGAAACTTGTTAGAGAAACTTGTTAGAGTTTCACCAAATAGAGTGCTCTTATTTTCACTCCAACTGCATGTTCATTACACACAAAAGCTGAATTTTATTTTTAGCCAAGTAAAAGTTTACAGCAGCATTCACATAATTTGAACTTGTAATTCTTGTCTCAAAATATTCGTCCATTGAACTATTTCCTGTGAATTAATTTTAGTGTTAACATTAGAATAAACAGTATGCAACTAAAATAGTTGCTTTTGATAATTACCTCCTAAACTGTCTCACCTGGTCTACCCCCACTCACATTTTATTTTTTTATGACCAGTACGACTCCGTCGGAATCAACTGTAGATGTTTTTATTGCTTGTCTGCAAAATCATAGTTTGTTTTTGTTGTGATCTGTGTTTTTTTGTGTAGTTATTTTGAGATTTTCTGTGTTAAGTCCTGTTTCCCTGTGAGTCTCAGTCCTGGCCTCCCCGTTGATTGCTTTCCAGGTGTGTCTCATTCCTTGATTACCCTCCCTGTGTATTTAAGTTCACCTGTTGTCTTTGTCTCTTGTCGGATCCTTGTCGTGTTACCAGTCTGTTTCCCTGTGCTGTCGTGTGTACATCCCTATCTTCCCTGTTGCTCTCTGTGAAACCTGTTCATTTGGATTATTTCTTCATTAAATCATCATCACCTTCATCTTGGGTCTGCCTGCGTCTTCTCTCACCTCACCTAAACCAAATTATGACAGTTTTCTGCTTTATTACAGTGTGGGAATTCCACACTGTAATAAAGTGGTGGCCCTTAAAAGAAAGACACATTGTTTCTGCATAAATAATAGTTCCATCTGAAAAGCTTACGTAGCCAGGTTACCTGACCCATTAGAATTTCAATTTTTACTGATCCCTCCAGTACCAATATAGACTTTTTCATAAACGTGGAGCTTTGTGCAATAAGTAATGTTCCTAATGTACAGTTCAGTAAGTAAGTAATCTGCATGTGTTTTCACTAAAGGAAACACATTTAAGCAAAGTCTGTTTTCCTGCTGGATCGGTAGGTAGAAGGTAAATTTTACATTATGAAAGTTAAACATTACAAACTAAGTAACTGAACACAGAGATGTTATTTTTGAAGAAACCTGAAACCTGTTATGATTTTTTCTGACCACTCTGTGGATGGAGACATTTTGACAGAAAACATTGACACAGAGCCTAAAACAAGAAATGGACTGCAAACTTCAGGCTTTAACAAGGAAACTGCTGATCAGGGAAAGCACCTGTTAATAAATACCAACAAGTACTTACGTTGTCACATATAAAACTATCAGGCTATCAGGCTGCAAGTCGACAACAATAAGGAAATACCTGTGGTTTAATATTGTGGAGAAAAAGCAGCAGACGACATTTGTTTAATCATTTCTGAGTTAAAGTTATATGCTGAATGTAGAGTCTGAGTTTCACTGCTAAGGTGT